AGAACTAAAAGGTGGTGGATGATAATTTTTCACCACCAGGTTTTGGCGATTGGGTACCCTAATCCGCGGTCGCCCTTTAAAAGGGAGAGTATATAAAGTATTTTCTCCATTCTTCCAGCATGCCTTCGTGGTACACTCGGCCAACACCTTCTAGATAGTTACAAGCCCCGAGCACGAAAGCGTGACAGCAGAAGGCCGATCGCTCGTGGCTACGCTCTTATTCACTAATTGCTTTACTCGCTTATTTACTTAGCTCCTACTTGTTTCCGGTTTCTCCCCCACTTCCTATTTACGATATGTAATTTGTAATAAAATTTAAAATGGAATTTTTAAACTTATGAATTATATTAGGAAGTCGGGAAGATTTCGTTTTTTGCTGCATTGAAAAGTTTAGGAATGAAAGCAAGCATAAAAGTAAACAAGTATGGATTCTGTTTTTCTCTATTTATTTATTAATATTATTAGATAATCAATAAAACCTGAACTGCAGTTTTCTGTTAGACTACAGTTGGGAGAAATTACTTTAGATTCTTTTGACTAAAGAGATGAATTTTTTCCGATGAAGTAGCATTAAGAGATGCATGCACGCTATTTCAGATTTCATAAAGATATAATTTTCAGAATGAATTTAATCTAATATTCATTTGCATAATTCATCAGCCAATGAAACTAAAACTATTTTTTATTATTTTGCTATTGTTCTCTTCAAACATTTCATTTCAACTTGATATTCTAGTGTGAAATGTAGTGAAAATGTTTTTGGAAGAGAATAAAACATTGATTGCTACAATAAAAATACGTTTGTGTTTTGAAAAAAGTGATGTTTCTCAGGACTTAAAAATTGATACATCATTACATTTAATAAATATAATTTATAGTGTTTACTTCCATGCATTTCTAATTAATTTATGCTTTTAATGTATACTTTTTCGTTGCCCTGCGTTGGCAACACACTTGGGGATTTGTCATCGCTAGAATGTAGCTAACTTATTAACTGTCCCAATACTTATTTTAAAAAACTTAACTGTGTTATTTGATTATTACTAGATGTTTAAGTATGAATATTTCTTTATTATAAGTTTTCAGTTTGGTTTGAATAAACTGAGAGTAGCGAGATTTATTAAAGCTATTTCATATCGAAACTACTCTTTCAATCTCATTCCAATATAGGAACGTAAACATATAGATTTTTAGGTTTCTTTTCAGTAACATCATTTCTTTTGCAAATAAAATTTTTAACAAACCATTTCAACAAACTTAATTTTTACTTCCTTCTGCGAAGTAAACGAAGTAATGTAATCGCGAAATTTTTCGAGTCTCATATTTCAACGAAAATATCCATTCCCAAAGTTTCAAATTAAGCAAACAAGCAACTTTAGTTTGTCGTAGATGTTTTCAGAATTTTTTTCCCCCCAAAGAAGAAGAAAAAATTCTGCTGAATGTTTTTTGGAAACACTTGTGTCTAAACGTCTCCAAAACCTGTAATTCAAAATCCCTGTCAAATTAAGGTTGCGTTTTCTCTATAATTTTAAATGTTTAAGTGTAAACGAAACAGATATTTGGCGACTTAAAATCCAGCGCTCATTTAGGGACATTCCTATGTCGCTTAATAAATTTTATAATCTATTTTGATCTTATTTAGAAAATTAACTTTTATTTGACAACTTCAGTCTAAAAAATTATTTTACACAGTTATGATCATAATTAACCAAATCATTGATTATAATAAGCCATGTATTTTCCATGTTTTCAAAAGTTATCACATGTTACTTTGCCTTTTCAAGCCTCGAACGAGATCGTTGACAACACTAAGACCTTGGTTACCTTCTAGTGCAGAACCAGGATGTTTTTTGAGATACGGTTCTATATTCCAGACATTATTGGTAGCGTTGTCATAAGCGTCGACCCACCGGTGGCCGAGCGGTAAAATCGCTGAACAATTCCGTCCATAGTTCGAATCCTACGAACGGGCTGGCTGCAAGGGCTTGTTCTTGGTCTCCCCAATGTGTAACGTGCATACGAGCCAGTTTTACTAAGAAAGTCCTCCACGAACACATTTCTGCTCTTAGAGAGGTAGACCTCGCTCTTAGACAGGTAGACCTCAGGTAGACTGTGGCTTTGCCACAGTAAAACAAGCCATAATACCTTTTCTCATTTTATCCTATCAGTGTGCAGTTTTATTTGTAAGCTGGTTAACAAGAAAATTTTTTGTCTTTTCATTATTAATTATTATTTATTTATTAAATATCACATTCTTTGTACTTACGCCACATAAAATTCAGTTCAACAGCAGAATTACGAAACATTTAAAAATGGCATATCTTTAGAATTTCCGATAGAATGTTATAGGTACGTACATTTATATTCACTATATTATGGTTATACGTATATTTATATTCACTATATTACACTGCTGGCCACCGTAAAGGTGCAACACCCTGAAGGAAGCATGTAAATAACATGAAATTTGCAACATGCATTAGCGGAGGTGAGATATGCAAATGATTAGAATTTCAGCGCAGACGCACATCACGCGCCCTTGTGGCGTCACTTCAAAGCGCTATTTAAGGCTTGGAGTTTTCGACGATTTCAAATTCGGCAATTGTGTTTTTCTTGTGGTTTTTTTCAAAAAAAGAAACGATCAATTATGCCTCGTAGTAAACAGCGATCATCGTTTGATCAAGTATCCGAGTTCGACAGAGGAAGGTGTGTATTTATTTAATTTAATTATGGCAAAGCACACTAGGGCTATCTGCCTAAGAGGAGGGATGCCTTTCGGGAGGACTTTCTAAGGCAAACTGGCTCATATACACCGACAGGAAGGATAGTGGCCTATTGAGAGTGGGATTATCGCTTTCAGGGAAATTGGTAGTCCGTATTGGATGAAACCAAACAGCTGTAATGCGGATATGTGACTGTTGGATGCAGGAGGTTTTACGACGGACCGACGTGTTCGATCGCATCCACCTCAGTGCACCACTTCACGTGATGACAGGAACATTGTGCGCATGCCAGTGACGGATCGCTCAGTCACATCATGAACCATAGCACAGCACATTCAGTCTGTAACGCATCATCCAATGTCTGCGCGTACCATTCGGCGCCGCTTACAGCAGAGTGGTGTGTCCGCAAGGCGTCCATTGCTTCGTCTACCCTTGACGCAGAACCACAGACGTCTCCGCCGCCAATGGTGCGATGAAATAAGGATGTGGACGGCAGAATGAAATGAAATTGTCTTTACTGACGACTCACGCTTCTGTCTGCAACACCACGATGGTCGGATTCCAGTCTGGAGACACCGCAGAGAGAGGATGCTGAACAGCTGCGTTATGCACCGCCACACTGGTCCTGCGCCGGGTATTATGGTATGGGGCGGTATTGGATATCACTGTCGCACTCCTCTAGTACGCATTGCCGGTACTTTAAACAGCCAGTGCTACATCTCCGAGGTGTTGGAGCCAGTTGACCTTTCTTACCTTCAGGGCTTGCCTACAGCCATATTTCAACAGGATAATGCGCGACCACACATGTCACGCATTGTCTAAGGGTTATTCGTCAATCGCCAGATTGAATTGCTTCCCTAGCCGGCTCGCTCTCCAGATCTTTCGCCAATAGGAACATGTGGTCCATGGTTGCTGAACGATTGACCCAGATTACATCCCAAGCTGCCACATGAGATCAACTTTGGCAACGTGTGGAAGCTGTTTGGTCTGCTGTACCCCAAGAACACATCCAAAGTCTCTTTGAATCAATGCCGAGGAGTGTGGCAGGGGGTGATCTCCAATTATGGCGGCTGCTCTGGCTACTGATTCTGGAAGGAACCACACTTCACAGAAGTCTTTAAATTTAATCATTTGATACTTGGTCAACATGTTATCTACTAAATAAATTTTGTTGTGATATCTCTTGTCTTTCTTGGTGTTGCAATTTGGGTGGCCAGCAGTGTATTTCTTTAAAACCTGGCCACTACCGCGTCTTGAAATAATTATCATCGAAAAAGATATTATTTTCATGTAATTGTTGAATATTTCTGATTAGGCTATTAATGCATGTTCATTTAAATCAATCATATTAAAAAGTTGAAAAATTCTTAGGAACTGCGTTTATTACTTTTAAATTGCTTAGTTAATTACTTAGTAACCTTCCACATTTAAATTTGAAAGTATCGTTGGTTTTTTTGGGTGCGGGAAAAGGATAAAAGTATTTTATTTCTTGCCGCGGTAACCATTGTTTTCATAGAGCCGATATTTTTACTTAAATTCGAAAGACCGCATTTCATTTAAACTTATTTCCTCAAATTTCATTAGAGATGTATTTCTCATTCAATTAATTCAGTTTTCATTTCATGGCAAGACACAAATACATAAAACCTCAAAATATCGTCATTAAATATTGAAAAATGTAGAAAAATATGAAACACCAAATGTAGTTAAAACAATTCAGAAAAAAATTTTTTAGAATTAGAGTTTATACGCGAAAATAAACAATTCGGGCGGCAGGCAAGAAAGCAGCTGTTTCGGTCCACAAAACGAAAAGTTTCCTTATGGTCCCACTGTGTAAAAATGTGCAGAAAAACTTAATTCACTGCTCTGCTATGTTTGAAATGTGAACAAATATGGCTGCCATGGTAAAAAAAAAATACGCTTAGCCGCACTTAAACAACTTTTAAATCGTCTATAGTTCTACAACTATTGCATGCATATTAACTAAAGGCATAAAAATCTTAACCGGAAAATAAGAATAACATAATTCAATAATTTTTAAAGTAAAAAATGCTCAATTAACGAACCTATAAGAATAAAAATCTGAGCTCAGTAACAGAGTTAGGTTTTTTTTAAGGCTGGAGACGTGAAAAATAAGCAACGCGGGATTCGAGCCTGGACCTGTCGAATACGTGCCGAGTGTGCTACCATTACACCACGAAGGCATGTTGAAAGGAGGAAGAAAAGAAGGCAAACCTACGTGAAATTTCTAAAAATGTGTATTTTATTTCGTTTCAGGTGGAATATTTTGCAAATAATGCGAAAATCATCGATTCAAAGGAGTATACATCGACTGAAGGAGAAAATCAAATACTCTACGTCATAGATGACATTCTCGAACCATATGTTTCAAGTACGTCGATGCCTCCGTCAGCTTATGACCTCTTGAGCCATCCCGAACAACACGATATAAAGGAGCCCCTAAGGTGAGAAGAGCGCGAATGTACTCTCTAATTATGTTGTTTTAACATGCATACATTTTCTTCCTGACATTTTGTATACATTTTCTTCCTGACATTTTTTCTGTTCTCACAGCTAAATTTCTTCAGCAAATATTTCATACTTACGCTAGAAATATTTTTATCAATCTTGCCGCAGTTCAGAATTATGTTTACAATAATAATGTCGAACTGTGTTGCGAAGTCGCTTGAACAGGATAGCTTCTGTTACAGGACAGCATGATGCGCAAATTTATTTCTTATATTAGTTTATTCGAATAAACAAAGAAGTAAAATAGAATCATGTATTTTAAAAACATTTTATTGACAATACTCACTTTCAAATGCAGAGATGTATTGCAAAGTCTAAGAACAGCGCCTGAAATTAATAAATAATGTCGGTTATAATCTGTTGAAATGAGTTTTATCTTTACAGTAATTTGCGTAAGTAGAGATAAATAATGAGCAATTAAGTTCCACAGTTTACTTTGTTGCCTGAAAAACCACCCTGGAGTATATAAGTTTCGACAGACATTGGCTAGCATGTTTTGTCGTATACTGTAAATCTTTGCCGAAAGCGAGGGTTCATTATTGCGTCAATTAACCTCTTCGTCGTCCGTAACGCGTGTAGCGAGTTCAAGTGAAACTTCCGCAGGGCGGCAGTAACTCGTTTCAAGCCTTCTTCTACATTTTAAAACTTTTAAACGTTTAAAACGCTTTCTAAATGTTCACTTGTTTGAGTTTTTATTTTTGTTTGTTCTAGAGGGCAGCACTTATCATACATTCTATTTCTAATTGAATTTGCTCTGGCTTTTAGGAAGATTCGCGCCATTTTACATAAGATACAAGACAGTGAAAGATGGCTTCAACGTCTACTCAGCAGAAAAAGAGAAAAAATGAGGTTGTGAATTGGAAAGACAAGGAGGATATACGTTTGATGAGTACAGTCCATAATAACTCGATGATTGATGTTGGAACATGAGAAAAAACTGTAAAAAAATCAATAATTGTAAAAGATTACAGCACCAAAATGGGAGGACTGGTCCACCCGGATCAGATGTTATCAAATTATCCTGCTATTAGAAATAAGCAGAGATATCATTATTTTTCCATTATGCTTTATTTCCTTATAATTTTACTTAATACTCATTGACATTCATCCACTGGCCCACCAGCGGCCGAGCGGTAAAATCGCTGAACGCTGGTAGTTTGGTCCGAGGTTCGAATCCCGCGAACGGGCTGGCTGCATGGGCGTTTTCGTGGTTTTCCCCACGTGTAACGTGTATACAAGCCAGTTTCCCTTAGAAAGGCCTCCACGAAGGCATCCTTCCCCTTAGGCAGATGGCCCTAGTGCGCTGTGCCGTATTCTCAATACACCATTCATCCACTACGAAAGTCATGTATGGAAAGTTATGATGTACAAAGAAAACAACATTACACGCTACGAAGAACAGACGGCCGCTGGGGGGAAATTTTTGCGGAAAGGAGAGGGCGGCGAAAGGGTTAACAGGGCAAAATCGCTTTCCACCAAGTGAACTTTCTGTCGAAAAGAACGGGTTCAGATTCAGAAACTATGGGTAATTTATACAAATCTAAATAGTATTCTAATTAAGGCGGGGGAAAGGAAACAAATGTTAATCAAAAGAATTTCTGTTACTGCTTAATAATTAGATATGTGGTTAACCGGCGGCAGGTAGCCCTTCTGACTCCATGAATGATTAGTACATTTGTGAGGTTGCATATGCTCACTGCTTGTTTCGAACTCAAATCATATTTATTACAATTACGAAAAGCTCTTTACACGCACATATATATATATAATTCATGTATAGCATAGAACAATTATTGCAGAGAAGTATAATCCTCGTGACGTGAGGAACCTGCTAACGAGGGTCTCTCTAGTCGAGAGTTCAAGAGCATTCTGGCGTGTTGTTCGGTTGGAAAAATCTAGAGACTGAATTAACCACGCTTACTTAATTTTTCAGTAGTATTTTTATGTTCTCCGATTCGTTATATCTGAAGCAATATCAGAGAAAAAACAAGATCATTGATTTGTCGACCCTCCTGAAATCGAGAGGCTTTTACGACAGACACAGTGCAGAACGCTATTGTCTCTTGACACTGGTCGCGACGTTATGTCTCTTCTACTGTCAACCAGAATGAATTATTGCTTCTGCGATGTCAGGCCGTGACGTGTAACACATCATAAAAGACTGGAAACGGGGACTTGCGGGGATCGCATACACGATTTTCTGAGCTCTGTATGTCGCGCCTCAGGTATATGATACGATTTTTTTAAAATAGCTGTAGATTTCTGCATGGATTGATGTTTGATGCAGCTCATTAAATATTTCGCGGTAAGAAGTGCAAAGTTTTTCTAGTAGCTTTCATAAAGTGTTTTTTTTTTCTTTCTCTATTACAAATTCAGACAGTTCGTGTGGTTTTTGTTAACATTTCATTTCAACATTTCGTATCTTAAATGCTTTTTATCTTCTTCGCTATCACCACTTTCACCGGCTTTTGTTATAAGATCATCCAGTTCTTCATTTGTCATTCTCTGCGAATTCTTTGATTTATCTTTTTTCCGTATTTAAAACTTCTTTGCCCCTTCTTGCTTCTGGAAAGCGCTGATGATAGCAAGCATTCATGGTTGATGAATTCACTTGTTCTCATGCGAATTTATTCATTTGTCAGAAAGTTTGTGTTGTCACAAATATTTTTATAATTTTATCCGCTTTGTGACAACATTTTTCGTCATGTTTCCAACTTGCGCGCACAGTTTAAAACATTCTGTTTCATAATTTAATTCCATATGAATATATGGCTTTTATAACATTTGGAAACTACTGTGAACCTAAAATTCTAAAAATTTCATGTTAAATTTTTATTTTATTTTGAGTTGAGTTTATAAAATGTATTTTATTTTTAAAAAATTTAATGTTTTCGCCCATAAAATTTTTCAATATTAAAATATTCATCAGATTGTTGGTTCAGTTAGAAAATAGTGCCCATATAAAGAATTCCATCCAATTTCAAGTATGTACCATTAGCCATTTTTAAAATATCGTGCACGCAAGGTGGAAACACGGCGAAACATTTTGTCACAAAGAGGATTAAATTACAAAAATATTTGTGGCAACACAAACGTTCTGGTTACCAGTTTCCAAAGCAGCTATATTGTGTAGTCAGCTGTAAAATGTTGGAAGTAATTGCTTTTAAAATAAGTAAAATAACCCAATTCTTGCAACAGTCACCTATTCGAAGATCATGAGGGGTTTAAGGTGTATGAGTCACCTTAAGGCAGTAATGTTCGGCCTCTACATTTGGATGCAATATTGTGAGATCTTCAGCACCTTATCCATGAGAATTATCGAGAATTAGGATAACTTTAAAACTCAAGTTTTGCTTATCTAAGCAATGTCTGACTACTTTAACGAATGAATTTTCAAACCACTCATCAAAGAGGACGATGCCCACGAAAGTTTCAATTGGATTTAAGGGAGGCGATTGAGGCGGCATCTTTAACTGGCGAGGAGCGTTATAAAGTAACTATTTCCAGGTGAGATTCACACAGGTTACAAACTCCGTTTGCTGCCATACAACCACAAACTACGATGCTCCTCCAACATGTTTTACAGTCGGTGTTAAATGTAATTTTTCCAGTTCAGAGTTTGGCTTTCTCTACGTATATCGTCGTACATCACTCTAGAAAATTTTAAACTTCGATTCATAGGACAAACTGTGTTCCAAAATTCCTCTGATATATTAACATAAGATTTTGCAAAATCTAATCTCTTTCTCCTGTTTATTTCTGAAATGAAAGGTTTCTTTCGTGCTGCCCTTCTTTAATAACTTTCTGCATGTCAAACATTCCGTATCGTTTGTACACTAAACGTTTTATGCGAAGTCTTAGTTACAGAGAAACATCTTTAGTTAGCAACATCTTTGGCTAACTGGGGTGCACTTATTTTAGAGTTTTTCTTAACCCTCTTTGATGATGCCACGTGTTCCTTTGCAGAAAATATTAGAGGCCGTCCACTTCTAATCTTATTTGCCTCTTTGAACAATCTCTTTGAACATTTTTACAACACCTCTAACAGTAAATAAATTTATGTTGAGTTGTATTTCTATAACACGATAAGTTAAATCCCTCATTTCTGAGCTGAATAATCAGGTTTTTACATTAACATCCAGCTCCTTCGACTTCAAAGCCATTTTTATCGCAGTATTAGCAAAATAACGTTTTAAAAGTTTTGAAGTAGCACTGAAGACTTTATACTAACAGGCTTTCTTATCGGTCTAAACACGTGAACGCAACATAAGAAAATTCGTATAGCAGTTATAACTTTGCCAATAATCTTTTAACATGCACATTTACGTTTTTGTTGTATATTTTATGTAAAAGGCATATTAAATTGAAAGTTTCATTAGATTTGTGTGTTTATAACCTCCTGTCTTCGTTATGTCCAGCTAAAATTGTTAAGCATTCCCTTTGTTTGGTAATATGACATAGTGCCCACGTCCCCCGTTCCTTATTCTTGTTTGGTAATATGATCAATTATAGGCAATTGCCAATACTTTTTTACCCACTGTATCTTTTCCTATTCGGCTTTCTGAATCCAATGTATCAATTTAGTGCCCCAGTTAGTACCAAGAGTTCCAGTTAACCAAGATGCTGATATCAGTTCTAATGCTGGACATAATCGCTAAAGTAACACTAATTAATACGTAACATAAACAACTCTTAAGGCCCATTCATCGCATAATATCGTAAAACTGAATTTCGAATAATGCAAATCATAAAATTAGATCTGAATAACAAGACCTATAGCATCCTATTGCTTCCATTATTCGAATCCTAAAATTTGGAATTTTAAATATTTAAAAATAACATCCTGTTTTCCAAAGTAAGAATTTGAATATGTTCCTTTCAGTTTTAAATTGCTTTGCAAATCGTTGCTACACACAGCTTCAATGTAAAGAATAAT